TGTACGATCATCAAATTGGGAGATGCAGCATACCACGATATCCTGGCTTCGGCTGGGCTTGAAATAACCCTTTTGCTGTACTCCGCTCTTTGCATCAGTGGCTTCCTAGATTCGAGCGAATGCATTTGTGTAGCTGAGATGTGTGTCTACGTGAAAGAACATGTGGAGAGACTCGTGTTGGCATTCGCATCAAGCGCATTGCGCATTTTTCGAATTTTGGCCCCCTTCCAGGGACCTTGATTTATACCCGCTGGCACTGACGTCTTTTAATTGGTCAGCCGGTTAGCGCGGTCGATGCTAATAAACACACACACACACACACACACACACACACACACACACATGGATGCAAAATACAGGCAAATTCTGCAGGTTGTACGCAAAACCGGCACTACCGAACGTCATGGCGTTGAGATGCAAAGATGCGATCGCGATGACATTGGCCATATCCTCTTGCGTTGCCTCCGGGAAGCAAGCCACCCAACTCCCGAAAGGGAGCCTAGCATACTGTACCCACCTGCCTTTGGGAGCCGGGGGTCAGGGCTTGGATGTTTTGTTTCGCGAAATCCGTTCGGTACATGAACTTGGTGTATTGCCTCTGTGTCGTGGGACCAAATGAAGGACAGACCCTCCCACTTGCGAGAGGTATGCTCCAAAACACATGCCAGCTTTGTGGGAACCTATCAACTTAGGGTGTTCATCCTTCCGGTTGTACCTTCACCTCTGACTACTCTTCCATCATCGTGGCACAGGTTTTCATTTAACCGACGACCGAGTTCAACAGTTCGTTTCGGAAGCAGAAAAGGTTATGGTTTCTGATTGCCACTCGGATGGACACTCCCCCTAGCAGTCCTCCTCTGTCGACGCAACACGTACATCAAACAACAACAGGCCGCTTCGCACGCAGGATGCAAGTTTTCCACCCTTATCCTGAGAATGAGGGCACCGATAGGGGGCCGGCCAAGCCCCGAGTTCTTTAATGCATGCATACGACGAGGTACGACGAGGGTACCGATGGGTGGCCAACCAATCCCGGACTCCTGGTACGTGTACTACGCACTACAAGAGGAAGTCCGACGATCGAAGCAAATACAGTGGGGTCTCGGTTTCGCGAGCTCCTGTTCAGCGACATGCGCTGTTTAGCGACCAAAAAATCACGTGGCACCGCCGCACCCGTAATAATAACTGCTAATCATTGTTAGTTCGGTTTAGCGACTTGCCCTGAATAGCGGCTACACTTCGTCGTGACAGGAGGGGTCGCTAAATCGAGGCCCCCACTGCTGTACAACTTCAGACTTCTGATGTGTGTACTACTACGCGAATCGACAAAACCGACGCTCCCAGCAAGCACTCCTCCTCAGACTCCTGTTGTGTGTACCACTACAAGAAGCAACAAACAAGCGGGCGCTCGCAGCAAGGCACACCTTCAGGTTGGAGGAAATGACCTCGAGGGGGTCTCGGAAGAGGTAGATCCACTTAGTCTCCGGCCACGCCTGCTCGATCGCCGGCAGGAACTTGGAGCTCTGGAACTTGAAGAACAGGTCCGTGTGGCCGTCTTGCACCGGGCCCATCAGACGGAACACGGTTCGAACCAGTTCCTCTCTCAACCCATCGGGACATGTTCCGGTTTTCGGGCACAGGTTGAGGACCGCAACAGGTGGAGGCGTTTCGCTGGGAGAGAGAGACGACAGACAGACAGAGGGGAGGGGGAGGGGAGGGGGAGTCGTCTGGATGATCCGCCTGCATACCTAAGGTTCCAACGCGGCGGAACCACTGTTTATCTCTTTCTGTCGCAGCTCACATCATTTTTCGGTAGACCTATGTTGCCATTTACGACGTCTTGTAGGGTGCAAGTGCGCGCAAAAAAAGAAGAAAACAAAGTGCAACTCTCTCGGGGCCTGTCGTTTTCGCCGCACCTGTGCACGATGTTGGAGGGCACGGCGGCTATCATGTTCGCCGAAAGGGTGGAGCCGCAGCGGGTTTCGTGGTATATGAAGCCGGTGGGATCCATGAACTCGTCGGGGTTTTCTTCTAGCACTCGCTGTCGTGTCACACAGGACCGGCGCGTGACGGCAACGATGGAGACACACGGACGGCAAGAGCGGCGCGGGAGTTGGAAAATAAAAACAAGCTAACACACCGTGGGTTTCCAGTACACGTAAAGGCAACGTACGCGGCATGGTGTAGACATGATAACGAAAGGCATTGATCATGGACAACCCCTCACGCATGTGAAACACGAGTCCTCGCACCTCATCGGTACATAGTTCTTACGGTACTGTTGTGTGCCCTGAAGCACCCTCGGCGTGTGTTGAAACGATAAGGATGGCGTTGTGTAAACGGAGTTGGCACGTCGCCTTTGATTCTTGAAATCACTCGAGACAAAAACACAAATTTGATTGCAATGCAGCCATTATTTCCCCCCTACAAGTACAGCGTTGAGATGTTGAAATCGGACCGCTCTCTCTTGATTGTTGCGGGGCACGAAATCTAACTTTGACAATCCCCATGGGTTTCCAATACCAAAATGGAGACCCATTCAAACACACGAACACACACAAGTACGGGGATAGCTTGTAACAAATTAAATTCCTTGCTCCAGACATGTTACGCACAACCATCGTCCATGCATTGGTCACTCCGAAAGGTAGATACCTGAGCACCGCACCTCGGTTGGGCTGCCCGTAGGTTCCATGTGTTCGCGGTTCGCGGCACATAGGGGTAAGGGGATCTTTGAAAATTGTTCCGAGTTCGGACGGAGGTGCCACTTCTCAAAATCTCACACAACCGCAGCAGTTTCCCGAGTTCGGTCTGAGTTGCTACTTCGCCAAACACTCACCAACAACAACCACCGCTATTTTTAAGTTGTTCAGAAATACATACTCACTGAAAGAGTGCCCGTTCGAGCGAATAACGCATCTGTTTCCCTCTCTGCTTGCTGTTTGGTTTGCGTCCACGAAAAAAAAGAAACGAACTCATTTGTTCATGTCCATCCGAGGAAAATCCCGGAAATTTCGCGAGCGGTGATCGTGGTTCATGGGTGTTTCAAGAAACCTGCTGGGAAAATTCGAAACTCTTTTCTTCTAGGGAGAGATGGATTCGTTTTGTTATATTAAAAACAATTATATTATCTATTATAAGCAAATAAAACATTCGCTAGCGATGAATTCATCATGTTTATAATATATGGCCCAACTTGCGATTCTCTTTGAACCTTGAGCAACGCACAGCAGCAGTTAGTGGCATGTCCCGTGTGGGCTCAGCAAGAGGGTTTGGTGGCCCTCTGTTGCATCCGCCCGCTCTGCTTTCTGCTTCACGCATATTCTCTCCGCAAATTTTGCAGGCTTGGAGGAAAGGAGCTACAGCAGTACAGATCCAGATTTACTCTCACACTCTCACATAACATAACCTATTCTGTACGACGTGCTCCGAGGTTGGTCAAAGCCAAGGCCGGGCATGAAACAGACCCCAGAGCGTCTCAGGAACCCTGGTGCCAGAAAGTTCCAAGGACCCAACCAAGCGTACACCGAACCTTAAGGGACGAGAGTCTGTAGGTCCGGGTCAAGCTCGGGTCGTCCATGCACCCGGAGGTCCGTTGGTGGAACGCTCCCATAGCGAACAGCCACGGGCTCTTGTGGTAGGCGACCATGTCCAGCTGGCAGTAGGCCACCAGCACGTTGAAGAGAGGGTTGTCTGGCGAGTCGTGGTTGATGGGGCCGGAGAGCGCGGCGGGAATCCACAGGCGTCCCGGCGGGGCCCTGAGGTCATCCATCTCAACAGTCTCGACGATGTTCTTCCTGTCGACGGAGATGCCCCTCGACCCCATCCTCTTCTTCGGCTTCCCATTCCGATCGAGCTCGCGGTCGCCGAGGTCCATCCCCTCAGGGATCTTGAACCGGTTCTTGAGCTTGGCTGCGTCCTCCTTGTGTATACCAACGCCACCTCCTTTCTGCGCTTTCGCTGCCGGCAACATTGTTGGCGAGGAGGGATGGAATTGAGGCTGGCTCGCCTGGCGAATCGCGACCATTGCCCAGCTTAACACAAGGAACACAGAGCATCCCGAGATGAGCACAGCGAGACGCGGCATGGAGAACAGGGGGAGAGAGAAGAGAGAGAGAGACGGAGATGTAGGCGGTGACTCTCTCCTGTCCTGCAGCCTGGCTCCCCCTCGAATCGAAAAGTTGCGAAAGGACAAAGGGGATCGGCAGAATGGATAAGGCGTCCGGGGTTTTCCACAGGCCGGTCGTATTTTGCTACTCTTGGAATTGAAAAGTATCCGAAACGTCAGCAGAACCGACTCCGAACCGACAGAACATGATTTTCGGCCAATTGGGCAACACGGACGGTGGGCTGCAGATTGTCGACACAGCAAGCGCCGTTGCACCTAACGCATTGCACCCAACGGTGAAGCAATAGCAACAAAACCTACGACTCTGCGAGCCACTGTATGCCTGGGGTTGAGCCCCCTACCTCCTCCGGCCTCAGGAGGAGTTGGTCAAGCGGGATACGAACACCGCGACTCAGCCAGGATGACTTGCCAACTCCCACGACGACGTCTAAAGGCGACCCGTGCTGCCTTGCTTGGGACCTACACGAGGCCGCCGCCACCCGCGGGGGGGACGAAGCAGTTCGGCGTTGGTGCTTGGGTGGCGGAGATCCCGGGTTAGACCAGTGGGGAAATTCGGCGCTCCACGTGGGTGCCGTGACTTCTACAATTCTGCGCCACAAACCGTCCGCGTTGTAAATACACCCGCTGCTGGACGGCCGTACTGTGGTATTGCTGAAGTCGAGTTTGATGAGACACACGTATGCTTCCTCTCCCTAACGTATGCAGCAGGCGTTTGGGTACCTCATCATATGAACATGCCTGCGCTAAAGGTGTAGTTGCAGAGTACAGTAGTCATACATGCCCATGTGTTGCACGGACCCTTGTGTTGAGTCCAACTCAAGACGTCGGCCGAACCAAATTAACCCCGGCGATACCGCCCACGCCCTGCAACAGCAAGCGGTATCGTTCTTCGCCTGCTCGCTATCCCACAGGCACAGAGTCCTGATGCCCAAATTGAAATATGTAGCAACGATTTCATTTGGCGACCCACACGAGACGAATCGTCTTGAGGGACTGCACAGGAAAGATAGCGTGTGCGCCATGCACCAATTTCTGCTTCCCGCCGGTAGGCAGGTATTCGTTGCTAATCCCGCACGTGTTGAGAGCGAATGCAGGGACGGCCATTACCTCTCTGGCGCACAGTAGGTGTGTGTTGTATAGACTATGCTGTAGACTACATGTATAACGTACTCCGTATGTACTGTAGACCATTTGTCGACACAGGATTGAACCCGAAAAACGAAGCTTGCTTGTCTGATCAAGACCATGCTCCTGGAGAATTTCAGAACACTTCAAGGGCCTCGACATAAGTGCGTCGATAAGCAGGTTGCGTTATGTTGATTGCATTCCGCGGCCGTTCATCCGATTGCTGAGCTGATTATTCAACCACTCACTGCTGTGAGATGATTTCAATGGTTATACCAGGATTTGTCGGAGCTCCTTCAGTTGCTGCGAATTAACCTTTGATATTACCAAAAGACGATCTACCACCGCCATTCTGTGCATTGCCTACATTTTCTTCCGATACCAACAACAGATTGCCTCACACAAGGGTCATGTAGAAACGGTGAGCGTACTCCTGCACTACCAAGCACAAATCGACCAAAGGAACAGGGGCCAGGAGACCCCGCTTCACTTAGCTTGTCGGCACAGCCACGCGTCGGTGGTCTGCCTGCTGCTGGAAAACGGAGCAGACCCGAGGTAATCCAGCGAAGGGAGAGGCGTACGCTCGTTCGTGCCAAACTCGAAACCCAGGTTTTTCTCGATAGATGCAGGCTTGCCTGAAAACTGACACAACTAGGTTTATTACAGTGAGATTAGCAGGCACAATAATCATAGTTACCACACCAATCCTACAGCAAGACATGTTCCAATCTTCACAGACGCGCTATGGCATCAAACACCGTAAGTTGGTTGTGTTTTCAAATCCTTTTTTCAGATTTGGGGACGAAATGTACAAAACACACGTGGAAATAGACACTCCTTCACTCGCTTCCTGTCAGTCCTACATAGCCACACCGCGATGACATGGTGCAGGCGGCCGCCCATTGGCAACAGAAGGAACATCACTTCAGTCTTGCTTTCGCTGATGCCCATAAACAGGAGCGAAGACGTTTGTGGGAGAACGCCATTCGATCTCTGCCGTGACCAAGAACCAGGAAACCAGATCGCGGACTTGCTTCGTCGAAGCGAGCAGCTCAAAGGTATATCGTCCTCATGTACACGGCGTTAATATTAGATTCTGCTCAAGAACAACCAGTGGATCAGCCCCGCGGGATGTTTCCGAACAGTATGTACATCTCTCTTCTCTCTCTCTCTCTCTCTCTCTCTCTCTCTCGGAACGAACGCCTGCGCCTTCGTCGTTCTTTGATAAAGTAGCACAGGAACCCCCACCAATAAATGACGCCGTGACCCACCCCCGGAGTCGTTCGTGCCGTATCATATGGTACAGAGGGCGGTAGTAACAGAGTGATGCCAGGAATTTAAGCAGGATATGCACCTCACAGCAGACTCGTGTTTGTAGGCTGAAACACACCTGTGGCTCTTGGCCCGACACCACCCTGTCAGAGCTTGGGTCGCTCAAACGCCGGGTGCACATCCAAGTGTGCCACGACAACATGAGCGGAGTTGACAAGCTACTGGAGGTCGGCGGGTCGATCGACGCCAGGGACACTGCTCAACGCACGCTTTTGCATCGAGCCTGCGAGGAGGTGCGACAGCGGTTGCATTCGTATGTCGATGTCTGTGCAACAATCACAGGGTGTCCACTGCGCTGGCGGCAGTGGTTATGTCCTGAACATGGATCGAGCATTTTCGTTGACCACCGCCGCCGTTTTGGAGACAATCTGGTGAGGTTCCGTTGTTGCCGTCTGCGGAACACGGTATGCACTAAAAATCTTACAGGGCTCACTTGCTAAATGTTTTTTTTTCTCGGCGATGTGCGACCCAGGAGAATAGGGCAAGCTAAGCAACGAAAACTGCTGTGGTACAGGTTTACGCCATGAGCACCAAGTATCCGAAACGTTGATGTACCCTTGCGACGGAGATGTTGTCGATTTTACGGGCCACCTGTCTGAACTACACGTGTTTCGGTTTCCGTCCGTGCGATAGGCAAGCATCGCCACGGTGTCCAGGCTTTTGGAGCTCGGAGCCACCGTGAACGCGACTGAGAAACGCAAGCAGACGCCGCTCCATCGGGCTTGCGAGCGGGGCCGCTTGGACATAGTCAGGTACCCCCCCTAAGCACCTCGCTTTTTGGCCAGACAGGAGGTTGGTTGAAGAGTCTAGCGATGTTCACCATCGTGCGTGCACGACCTACGCACGTCTGCGCAGTTCGGTGGGTAACACTGCCTGTTGAGTCACCAAGGGTGGCAGGTGTTGTGAGCGTCCTGCCCCCGATCGGAAGTCGTGGAATGAGCTCGTGCTAGCTCAGTTTTCACCCCACACACTAACACCTACTGTAGGAGGTATCGCGACACGAGCTCACACTAGTTTTTATTTCAACACCAGAAGAAGACAACCCAGATGTTGCCCAGTTGTTTGCTTTCCTTCAGTGCCAGCACCACCCGCCTCTGTTCCTTGCGAAGGACCACCATCCACGTCATACTCAGAACTGTGATCGCCGGACGACGATGTTTGTGACCTCATGTACTCCGCAAGGTTATTGGTCGAGAAGGCAGGGGCCGACAGTCGCGCCCGGGCGAAGGTCATGCATGAGCCGCTACACGTGGCGTGTCTCGGAAACTGGGGACAGGTGGTGAAGTTCTTGCTCAACGAAGGGAACGTGGACATTGAGGCGGCCGACAAGAACGGCATGAGGAGCCTGCACCTGGCCGTCCAAAGGAACAGGCTGGAGGCCATTCGGGAGTTGCTCAAGCACGGGTGCGGAGGTTTATCAGTCGCGGTTGCGTAAATGCACGTTGGGCAGCTTGGCCGCCCGACGCCAATCGCAAGCGAACGAGTAATGAAAATGTCTTTTCGACGTCTTTTCAACTCTCGATTACCTCACTTTTGACAGTCTGGCTTCGTCGATCCAATGAAAACTTTATTTCTTCACAACGACGACATTTTTTCGACTGCGTGCAGTCATGCCTTCGTCGGCGTGGGTCGATCGCTCCTAACCCCGACAGCCTTGCCAAACGCACCGCTTTCGAGTAGACCAAGACCGCGCAACAACGACCCATATGACGTGTGACAACAACGTGGGGCGTGGCAACCTTATTCGCAGGTGCGATGTCGAGGCCACGATGCCTGACGGGCTCACGCGACCCCTGCACATGGCTTGCGCTAGCGGGTACGAGAAGGCCGCAACGCTCCTGCTGGACCACCATGCCGACATCGGCGCCATAGGCCCCAAAGGGCATCGTCCCTTACACCTGGCTGCTAAGGAGGAGCGAGCCGTCATTGTTGAGGTAAGAAAAAACAACGACTTCATGATTGTCTACTTGCCCACCTGTTGTGTTTTTTGTTGTTTCGTGGGTTAACAACTCACCTGAAGAGCATAGCCCGGGTGATATATTTCGCCACAACAATGAAACTGCTTCGGGCGGACAGGGTCTTCTCCCATAGACGGTGCGGGTAAGGCGTTCCGAGGTCGTAGTGGTCTGAGCCCGCCACGCAGGGCAGACAGGTTTTTCATTAAACCGGCAAGGACACGCCATGAACGCCTTCATCCACACTGCTGGTGGTTGGTGTTTGTTTTGTTGTTTCTCACAGTAGCTATATAGTCTACAATAATGGAGCCCGTGGTGTGTCGGGGCAGGAGTGAAGTAGGTTGTTGTCGGTCGGGGGGGGAAACAGGCTTGCTCCTTGTGGATGCAGACACGAGGCAGAAATAATCTGTGTCTTCGCTCGCCCGCCGAGTACACCAGGAGCTTGCTGAAGGAGAGCTCCCACCACCTCCCTCCTGAGGATTAGGTGAAAGTCATGACACTTGACGATGAGCCCACCACGCCCTCACCGTACGTTGGCGCCGCAGCTTTTGATAGGGCGAAAAGCGGATTTGCACGCCAAGGATGACAGGGGGCGAGACGCTCTACACTACACCGACAGCCGGAGGTGCAAGGAAAGGATTCAAGAGGCGCAGCGGAGGGAGGAGAGGGCTGCCGAGGCGCAGAGGCAGCTGGCTCTGCAGAAGAAAAGGGACGAGGAAAACCGGCGAAGGGAGCAGGAGTTGCTGGACAGGGTCGACCTGCGGGCGAGAGCGCGGCGATAGCTGTGCCCGGAGTTTCAACATTTGAGCGAGGTTCACTCGCAGCGTGGTCTTGGAATAAGAGCACGGCTTTTTGCAGCTTGTTGCTCGTGGAAGGGCGCAATGTCAATCCATCCCCGTTCTAGCTTTGTGTTCGGTTCCACATCACAGATCCCCAACCAAAAAGAGGGCCACGGAGATAGCTGTTCCCGGGCCACCGGGGTTTCAGCAATGAGGGCGGTTCACTCGGCTTTGTGTGCGAAGAGGAGTACGGATTCTTTTGGCTCATTGCTCGTGAAAGGGCCAATGATCAACCTTCCCCTTTTCTAGCTTTGTGGTCGGTCCTACATCGCAGATCTTCGAACAAAAACATGGGTGGTGCTTGAGTGTTTCTTGACCGACAAGGTGACTCTGCAGTAATGATGATCGACTTCCAACATCATTGCGTGCGTGAATAAATCCAGGATCGACCTTCCTGCGCACATAACTTCCGTGCATAGGGCAGAGGCAATCCTTCCTCCGGCACTCTCTTATCATTCCCAAATTACTATCCAAGGCCAATTACTTACATACCGATTATCGTTACACACAACGAGATCAACGACCAAAGCCTCTCAACACCAAAAATAAAGCGCGATCCAGAAAGGCGGCAAATGGACCTCGATTCAGTGCCTGGGGTCCATGAAAGCATAGACCACGCGGGCGTGTTTAAAATCAGTCCAACCTGCCGTCAACGCAACGACGAAGAGGAAAACCTTGTCGCCCAGTCATCCAAACCAGCACTATCTTCCACAACCTCACCTTAACATTTTCCTGAGATGACTGTCCTCGGCCGCCTGTAACTCCGCTTTTCAATGGGTACTCGCATCGTACTCGTTAGTTTTTCGGGGCGCAAAAAACATACCGAAAAGAACCGCACCCTTTCGCCGAAGGTCTAGCAAACTGTGTGCTCTTCGACATGACATCAGAACGCCACGAGAACAGGGTAGGTGTAACCGCCAGACATGCTGACACGAAAAAACAGAGTAGGTTGGCGACGATTCACACTCAACGTCGACGAAAAGCCAACAGAGGCCCCACCGCCGCAGCAACAAAATAAACCGCCATCCCGAGATGTGGTGACCTGAATGGGCGTATCTCGTGCCTCCCGGCAGCCCCCCTCGATGAGCTATCCGATGGCTTGTCCCCGCCGCGAAAACACGAAAAGACATGAACTGCCAGACGACAGAGAAAGATAGAAGGGACTCAAAAAATGAAATCATCACGTACGGAACGTGAGAGCTACACAACTTCCACAATGAAACTGAAAAAGCTACGTAGAGATGCAAGCAAAAAAAAAAAGTGGGGGGGTGAGGGGCTTAGATGGGCTTCGTCGGCGGGGCCCCCGCGCTCGTATCCGACTCCGAAATCCCGAGGGTCCCGCCGGCGGTGTTTGCCGGAACTGCGGACGGGGGTACCGGGCCTGCCATCTCCTGCGGCTTCCCCATGGCCTGGTGCGCCAACCCGCTTACGCTTTTTACGAGGCTGCCGATGGCGTCTCCCGCTTGGTGGACGCCAGCGGCGACGCGGGGGTTGCTCTCGAGGGCCTGCGGGTACAGGGTGCGGATGCGGGCACGGTGCGGAGCGTGAGCCTGGCCTACTAGCAGTTGCGGTGTGCGTAGTGTACTGTACAAACATGTCAGTTCTCGTGTTCGTAGTCTCTTTTCCGCTCCGAGCAGGACTGCATGGCAAATACAGGACCTCCAGCATTCTACTCAGTGTCTTGGGAGCGCTTTGCACAATCGCATCTAGCGTTCATTCAGGAACCAAACAAACCCGATCAGTCATATCCCAAGTTACCGTGATTGTAGCACGGAGACCACACTCTGTTCTACATAATTATTCTGAGCAACCGAGAGGATCTGTTGAACCGCTAACCCATCCACTACCACCGAACTGTCGGGAAAGCGTGATGACCGAAAGGGCTATATCGTGTCTAGCCCGCCGAAGGAAAAACAAAACGAACACCCACTTTTTACTTGACGATAAAAAAGGTTTAACACCGCGGCCGGTTCTGCTCCCCTCCAAGGGGGGTACACCGCGGGTCCGCAAAAGTACCAGCAACGGGGGTGGAACCGGTGAAGCAAAACAACACAATTGGCACGATAACAAGACCAACGGCTTTACCTTGTCGGTCGATTCCTTGGCTGAGTGTGCCCACTTCGACGCGGTCTCAGACACCTTGAGCCTGCACCGTAGGGTAACCCCGACACACAAGAAGCGGCGGGGGGCGATCCTTGAGAGCAAAAAAAGAAAATCATGATACAAACAACATCCCTAACGCTTCGACTCTCCGCTGTGACAAGAGGGAATCAATCGTCCTCAACCAGCTGGCCCTCCTCCTAGCAATTACCGTCCTGGCGGTCGCTGTCGTTACCGGTACTCTTGGAGTCCGGCTCGTTTTCGGAAACATCTCCGCGTCATCTCCACGTCGACGTGGAGATGGTTCCGAAAACGAGCCGGACCCCGAGAGTACGGGTGACAACAGCGACCGTCAGCGCCGTAGTAGCGAGGAGGAGGGTCAGCTGGTCGAGAGCGTTTCCCTCTCATATTGGCGTCGACGAAGAAATGCCTGTTGTTGAAAGAAAACCCGGGTTCGAATCCGCCACCCGCCATATTTTTATGTAAAAAAAAAAACACTGGAAAAACTGGTGGGGGAGCAAAATATAGATTTTCGGAGTTGTGGACCTTGCTAGGTGACGTGGCGGACGTCGCGAACCGGGGTAATCACGCACAGCGTATTGGTAAGAAGAGAAATCGACTCGCCGTTCGACGGGCGGGTTCCGGTTACCATAAGAAGCCTTCTCGCCTATTTGTAGCAACCAAAGAAGACTCAAGTAGGGGGGGGGGG